TCAGGCGCCGCAATGGGGGAGGAGGTGGTGAGGGCCCCCCAACCGGGCCCAGACCGTGAGTTTGCGGCTGTGCCTGCACCTGCCCGCACCCTGTGCCTGCCTGCAACGGCCTGGAGCAAAGCAGCTAGCTTTTCCAGCCTGGGTTTCTGTAGTATGGAGGCTGGACTAAGTAAGGGGTGTGTTGTTCAGTTTTTGTTTGGGACAAGAAATTAGAAAAAAAAAAATTCTTCCATTATAGACCCTAGCCCATGCAGCCATCCTGCCCCTTTCTCACTCATCCCACTACCCACGCCTACTCATCCGTTCTATCCATTTACTCATCCATTCACCTTCCGTCCATCATCATCCGTCTGCTTCCCCTTCCAACCATTTAGGCCTCAGTCCACCCATTCACTCATCTGCCTTCTCTCTCTCCCTCCCTCCATCTTATCACCCGCCCATCACTCATCCATCGGTCCTCTGTCTCTCTGCCTTCCTCCCTGCTGTCTACCCTTCCACGTACTCTGGTCCCTAGGAGATAGTGCTACGTGGGTGATTCTACTAGGACCAGGCTTAACTGCCATTAGAGGCCTGAAGAAACCAGGGGTAAATGCAGGAGAGGGAGATGTAAAAAGGCTCCAGCCACCCGGATCCTGGCTGGGAAAACTGCAACTAGATCTCCACAGTTCAAACCGGTGTTCACACTCGACTTGCTGAATGATCTGAGAAAGTCCCCTGTGACTCCAGCTGACACTATCTGCCTAAGCATGTTAAAATAAATGAGTGCCTATGGGAACAGCCTGCTTTGTTCCCGCGGCCATCATCCCTATCCTTCTAAGTGACTACATGGGAGTGTCCACACAGGCAGGGACAGAGATTCTGTTTCAACTACAGTTGAAGAAAAATAAACCCATTCTTTAGGTTTTGCCCTTCCTTGAGTTCACAGTATATGTGGGGTGTCTGGCTCAGCATCCTCTGTTTTCATAAAATCCAAATTATTCAACAAATATTTAGCGAGCACAGTCATGGGACTAGGGACACAGTCATGGGATAAGATAGAGGCGGCTCTTACCTTCCTTAGCTAGCAGTCTGGACCTCAGTTTCCTAAGCTGTGGGTTTGGCCCAAACTGAATGTGTGATGGTTGTGAAAATTTTGGCAACAGTGATTTGTTCTAAATATATCATGGCTAAAAATTCAAAATTAAACACACATTGAGTCTGGGGTGTTCCAGATAGCAGTCACCTGTGTTGCACCATGTGACATTACTGCAGCCTTCTGAGTCTGTAACACACAAGCTGCTCTGAGCACGCTGTCAGGCACACACCATGTGTGAACACTACCTGAAACACCTCAGGCCAGAATTGAGACTCCAGTATGCTATGAGCTGCAGGGTCTTTGCTGTATAAACTACTTTTAATTAGGGGGGGGGGGGTGGGGTGGGGGGGGAGACTGAATATTTTCCTGCCATCATTCCTCAGCATGTGTCAAACTAAAATATCTTCAGATTATGTTATATTGAAATTTTTTTTAATGCTGATTGAGGTGCTGGATTCAATATCCTAAAAAATTATCACATGAATTTTGAATTGGGACTAGGACAGACTTTTCAACAACTTGTGACAACATTTGTGCTACATATTTATACAAAGTGACATTCTCAGCATTGATGACTATAAAATTAAAATACCAACCCTGAAAACTGTCCTACAGTATCAAATATTCAGCCAAGATTTAGTTCTTTATGCAGAAATTGAACAAGTACATGGTCTCATTAGAATGCAGATTTGCTCCAGGCCTTTCTATCTGATAAAATTACATGTAGATGAAATTATTTTAAAATAAATTCTTTTATGATTTATTATCAGTAAATGTTTGATTTGTATACCTACTTTATACATGCATATGCCCAGGGGTTATTTCTTAGGGGAAAAAGGGCTAGATTAAGCTCAGCTAGTAGTGTTTGTCTAGCATGCATGAACCCTGGGGTTTGAACCCTAGCATTCTTGAAACCTCCTTCAATCTAGCACTTGGGAGGCAGAGATGTCAGGATCAGAATAGCAAGTTTGAGGCCAGTCTTGGCTACAAGAAACCTTGTCTCAGAAACAAAGAAGCCCAAACCAAAAAGGGGTGGAGATCACAAATGGAAAAAAAATATATATATATAATTTTTCTAGTATTCACATGAAAACAGTAAATGCAAATTAACTGTTGATAATGTTTTGATTTAATTCAGTATATCCAAATACTATCATTTAGCATTTAGCATTTATCATTTAGCATCCAATACTATCAGTGTTTAGAAATTATACTATCATTTTAGCATTTGGTCAGTGTTTAGAAATTATTGATGATGTGTTAAATCTTCAAAAGGTGATGTGTGGCTTCTACTTCAGGCTCATCTTAACTCAGACAATCTATATGGCAGATGCTGGTAGCCTTATGTTCTTAGCATCAACAAAACAAATGTCCCAGATCTAGGTGAGAAGGCAAAGGAAAACTGCAAAAAGACATCTAATGCACTTACCAAAGGTCACAGTTGACTATGAAGAAGACAAAGCAGGGATTTTTTTTTTTTTTTGCAGATTTTTTATTTGAATTAGAAACAAGATTGTTTTACATGACAATTCCAGTTCCCTTCTCCCTCTCATCCTTCCCTACCCCCCTCCCCAACTAAAATCTTACCTATCCTTTCTGCTCCCCCTAATGGTGAGGGCTTCCATAGGGTGTCATCAGAGCATCAGAGTCTATTGTATCTTTTGGGATAGGGCCTAGCCCCTCCCCCCCCACCCGCCGTGTGTCTTGGCTCAGGGAGTATTCCTCTATGTGGAATGGGCTCCCAAAGTCCACACCTATGCTAGGGATAAGTACTGAACTACTACAGGAAGTTCCATTGATTTCTGAGGTTTCCTCACTGAAACCCATGTTCCTGGGGTCTGGATCAGTCCCATGCTGGTATCCCAGCTATCAGTCTGGGGAGCAAGCGATCCCTGATGTTCAGGTAAGCTGTTTCTGTGGGTTTCACCAGCCTAGTCTGAACCCCTTTGCTCATCACTCATCCTTCTCTATAACTGGATTCCAGTTCAGTTCAGTGAATAGCTGTGGGTGTCTGCTTTTACTTCCACCAGCTGCTGGATGAGGGCTATCAGGTGGCAAATAAGTCAGTCATCAATCTCATTATCAGGGGAGGGCATTTAAGGTACTCTCCTCTGTTGCTTAGATTGTTAG